TAAAGTCAACATGTTTTCAAGCTGGGCTGCGGACTTGTCGCAGGCAGGGGCGTTCATGCTTCCGCAAGGTCGTCTCCTATGCTGCCTTTGCGCCGACGGTGGCGGTATATCCACCGGGCATGGGAATTCATCCTCCGTGAGTTCGGGGACGGCGACGAGGTCTGGACTGTGAACGGGGCTGCCAGCGATATGACAGTCCGGCACCGTGAGGCCAGCATCGGTTGTAGTCGTCTGTCTTGTGCCCGCTGCCATGGGCGCAAGCCTCGCACCGTTGCCCTCGCGGCGGACGCGGGGCAATTCTTTGAGTCTGCGAAGCCCCAGACGGCTATCCAGGAATCCAGGCTGTTCGTGCCATCGTCTCCCGTTGCCGCGAAGCCACAGGCAAGGGCGTCGTAACGGTCCTGAAGAACAGTTCGAGAAAGGCTTGGCTCGGGAACTCGACTGCCCCGCGCAGCGAAAAAGCTGTCCAATTTGATTTGCACGACCTTGTGCTCGCCTTCGCGGTTTGCATGCTCATACCCGGCCTCCCTATTGGGGGCGCGTTATCAAAGATTGCCGCGAGTGCTGTTTTGGGAGAGGAAGAGTTCAGAAGGCGCTGCGATGTGGGCCGTAGGCGCCGCGCCGGCTTTGCCGCCAACAGCGCGGCCTGGGACCACGAGGTTGCCCGCGGCCGGTATGTGGACGACGTGCTATGGGTCAGTTCCGCGTACTGTTGGGGTTGCATGAAGGAGGCGTTGGGTCTCGTATACTCTGCGCCTTTCGGTGTGACCCCGCACTCGAGCATTGCAGTCTGGTTGGATATTCGCTTTCACTCTCTCGACGCTCACTGGAGCGTGGCTGTCAAGCCGTGGGTGTTCCCACCTCCATGGGGTTCCCCTCGCGGCTACGCTTGCGGCCTCCTGGCCGGCCGTCTGCGCCGGTGGGCCGACGTCAGCCTGTCCGAAGATGATTGGCCCGAAGCTGCCATTAAAATTGATCGGTTTCTGTGACGCACAGTGACCGGTTCGCACATTGCAGGCCGCTGTCCTCCAGTGTGCCCACGTGTCGACTCCCCGTCAGCAGTCGCTTCTGCTTCGCGCTACGCAGCGCGCGTGGCAGCGGCGGTCATGACGGCCCCCGCGCGCTGCCGCTGTCGCGCGTCACCCTTGCTTCCTGGCCCAGGTCCAAGGGAAAACCGGCCGCGCCGAGTCGCCGCTCTCGCCCAGTGTTTCGCGCGACGCTTGCCATGGGGTGGCTGCTTGGGCTGCTCGTGCTCTTGCGGGGGCAACTGGCGGTCGCCGGCGGCAAGGGCAAGGGCGGCAAGGGCTACGAGGAGTCGCCGTTGCAGCAGGGGTACCGCTCCTACGACTCCAGCCGGGACTGGGGTTACCGTGGCAGCGGCCCGGGGCGGCTGGAGCGCATAGAACACATGCTTGAGAAAGTGGCAGACAAGCAAAGGGAAAATGACAAGAAGAAACAGAAGTCTGCTTGCGATTCCAGCTCTTCCACGTCTTCGTCTTCATCATCTTCCGATTGCTCCCGCAGAGCTGACAAAAAGAAAAACATAAGAAGTATAATAATGATAAGCGTGACAAAAAAGATAAGAAGCACAAGAAACGTGACAGGTCTCGTGACCGCGGTCGTGCCAGTGACCATGGCGGGCCACCCAGGGCGCTGTCCAGCGCGGAGCGGAAACAGTTGGACGACCTCCGCAGGCAGGCGGACATTGCCAAGTTTCGCGAGGAGGTCTTGTCGTCCCTCCCAGGGACCCCTGGCGCCGCGAGGGGCGGGGACGCAGCCCCCCTCACGCCCGAGACCCTTCGCGCCATCCGGGCCGAGACAGCCATCGTCTCGGACGGCGCCCCCCAGCCTCTCGCGTCTGGCAATGCGGCTGCCTGGGAGGCCATCGGCACCGAGTTCAGCGTCCTGCCGCTGCCGGAGGTCAAGAAGCTGCTCGCGCAGCTCCGCGGCGAGGGCGGCGAGGCGCCCCCCAGCCGCCGCCCGGACGTGACCAAGGCAGTGATCGCGCCGCTCCAACGCAGGGCTGGCTGAACACCTCCAGAGCTGCACAGGGCTGCCGCGACGGCTGCGCCAGGAGGGACGTGGCGAAGCCTGTTTGCTGTGTGCTGCGGGTTGGCTCTCCTGTTTGGCATCTTCATTGGTTTACAGGTGGGCGAGGGCGCTTCCCAGCCAGCTTGGTTGCCATCGCCGCTATGGCGTGGCCTTCAGTACGGTCGCGCTTTGAAGGTGCTGGCGTGGGACGACCGGCAAGCGTCCGCGATGATCGAGAGCGTCACTGGGATACCGATCCTCTCAGCGACGTCAGATGTGGCGGTGCTGGCAGGCTGTTATTTCCGAGATGCGATTAGCGTGGCGCTTGGCATGCCCACCGGGATTGGAGTACCTGCGGGGTCCCGATGGGCATGGCGTGGCCAGCAGGCTACCGACGGGCCAGCGCCCAGAGGCTTGCAACCCGTCGGGACGACAGGTTCGACTCAGACAGCTCTCCGGCTCCTGCTCGATCACCCTGGGGATCCACATCGCCACCCTGAGCCGAGGCGTCTCGCGCTTGAGCATATGTAGATGTCAGACATGTGGCCTGTTTTTGTGATGTGCCCTACTTCAGTCTACCCTGTCCCGGCTGGTTGGGAGAATTGTGGCACAGAGCGGACAGTCACAGCTGAGAATAAGTTTGGAATCTCTTGCCGAGTGTTGCATGGCTGTCTTTTGATCGTGGTGCCGTAGGGTCGTCATCACCGCAGCCTGCAGCATGTCGGCCGAGGTGGCCGCCTCATGAGCAGGCGGCAAGGGGCGCGCGCGGCAGACGAGGTGCTCACGGGACCAGACCTCGCACCCGGGATAAAAAAAAACACGTGGTGATTGTGCAGGCGTTGCGCAGTAGTCACTTGTTGTTCCTCCTCCTCCTCCTCCTCCTCCTCCTCCTCCTCCCTCCTCCTCCTCCTCCTCCTCCTCTTCCTCCTCCTCCCCCTCCTCATCCTCCCCCCCCCCTCTTCATGGCCCGTTCCTCCTCCTCCTCCTCCTCCTCCTCCACCTCATCCTCCCCTCTGCCCCCTCCGTAGCCATTTTGGCTCAAGATGTTGTTGTCCCACGGGCAAGAAGTGGATACGTCTAGTCCGAGGCTTGATCCCGTTTCAGGCAACCCCAGTCGAGCTGCGGGCTGCTGGGGCCAAGAGACTGCTTCCTCGGACACGATTTTGGCAACTCCAGTGGTGTGCCTGCGCGCGCAATGGGGCGCGGGCGCCAAACCTACACGTGCTGTAAGACCTGCGGTGGTTGGGTCAACGACTGGAAGCTCGAGAAGTCGGGCGGCTGGTGCTACAAGTGCCAGACTGTACTCCCAGGTTGGTCGCCACCTGCGCATCGTGAACCTGGTGTCGATGCGGTCGGCAAGAGCAAGGGCGGCAAGGGGCCTCCCTGGCGCAAGGCGACGGCAGTGCATGGCTCGCTGGCAGAGCTCAGCAACATGCTGGAGCGGGTCGAGACACTTACGGCGCAGATGGCCCCTCAAATCGACCTGGGACCAGTCAAGGCGGTGCAGTCGCAGGTGCAAGCGGCTGCACAGGCCCCCAAGAAGGAGGCCTCTAAGGAACTGGGGTTGCGGCAGGCGATCAACAAGCTCAACAGGTGCCAGCTGGAGGTGGAGAGCACGACCTCCACCCTGCAGGAGGCGGAGGAGAAGATCTCGCTGCTGCGCGCCAAGAACGAGAAGGCCATCGAGGACGCGGCAGACGCTGTGCTGGAGCACAAGAGGGCGCTGGCGGCGTACCAAGCGGAGACTGCCTGCCAGCCCCCAGACCCGCCCCAGGCGGAATGGCAGGCACCTGCGGTCGGCGACCTGTTCGACGACCTGGACGACTACGAGGAGGAGGATAGGACCAAGCTCAAGAATTTCAAAGCGGACATGGAGGCGCTGGACCAGTTGCTCCAGGCTGCGGCGGGTCAGTTCCGCCAGTTCAGCGAACTCAAGCAGGAGGCTGCCAGTCTACGGCGGCAGGCCCAGAAGAAGCGCAAGAAGGTTGACGGCAGTGACGGGGCCCAGAAGGGGGCGCAAGAGGCGCAGGCTGCGGAGGCCGCGGGCGGCGGCTCAGTGCCCGCGGCGGCGCCTGCAGGCGGCACCAGTGGGCAAGCCCCGCCTGCCCCCGCAGCAGAACAGAGTCGTGAACGGCAAGATATCATCGACAACATCAAGCAGCAGACCGAACAGAAGGTCCAGGCGGCCAAGGGCAAGGCAGCCTCGACGTACAAAGAAGTGGTGCTCGGCCCTGACGGTGATGAGCGGCCTGGTGGGGATGGCCTTTAGCATCTTCTTCTCCAATATCACGATGTGGGGGGCCAAGGCCCACACGTTCAGCTCGGTAGAAGGCAAGCAGAAGGATATCATCATGATGTGCGAGACGCATGTATATTGTACCAAGTTGGAACAGGTGAGGGAGGAGGTATCCCGCGACGGCTGGAAGTTATCGGGCACAGCAGCTGTGCCCACCAAGCGATCGGAGACAGGAACCTCTGGCGGCGAGATCATGTTGGCCAAGACCCACCTGGCCTGCACGGGCTATGATGTCCTGCGGAAGCGGATGATGGACAGCGGTGACGTTGACCCGTCCAGGGGCTTTGCAGCGCTCAATGTCCACACGCGATCGGGCAACATCATCCTTGTCGCGGCGCGCCTGGCCCCAGGTGAAGCTTTCACAGGGTCGAATTAGCACACGAGTCGATCCCTGTCAGGTTTCGTCAGGTCTCTCACGGATCCTTGGGTGGTCTTGGCTGATTGGAATGTCCCACTCGAGCAGATGGAAAAAGCTGAGCTACCAGGGAGGCTTGGCGGAGTTGTCATCCGCCCAGATATCAGCATCACGTGCGACAAGGGCTAGGGCAGCCTCATCGATTACGGCATTGCGAGGCTGGATTTCGCGCCCTGGCTCAAGCTATTGGCTGAGGGCCGATTACCATGGCGCGCGCACTGTGGATTGCAGCTGGTGGTAGAGGGCACTAAGCAGGAGTGGTGGCATCGGCAGGTTGACATCCCGAAGGCGCTCCCGCATCGAGGGCGTCCTCAGAAGTTGGCGGACCCAGACTCGAAGACGAGCAAGACGAAGCAGGCGGCGCGCCACAGGGTGCAGCACGCCTTGGCTGGGCACCTGCAGGAGGCCTACGCGGAGGCCATGACGGTGGAGGAGTCGGCGGCTGACACCCTGATCGGCTGTGCCGCCGAAGCCCTACAACATCGCGGGCGAGATCTGGGAGCAGGTTAGCTTTGGGGATCACAAGCTGGAGCTGACGGAGGAGATGCGCATCATAGGTGACAAGATGATCATCAGGAGCGCGAAGCACCAGATGGACGAGTACCAGCTGACGAAGCAGTACGTCGCGTGGGTCGCGAGGGTAGAGGAGGCCCACATCCTGAATGAGAAAAAGGACGCTCAGGAGGCGCAGCGGTGCAAGGGGCGTGCGCCAGGATTTGGCATACGATGGATACGTGCGAAACCCACACCAGGACGGACACACATGAGATATGGACCAGCAGAGGAATGGAGCACTTTGGCAGCTGATGTGGTACGATATCAGTCCCTGGTGGTGAATGGTACTGATGTCAAGCAGCAGAGCATGCGTGTCAAGCGTATCCTCAGGCAGATCGGAGTTCTGAGAGGCATCTCGCACAAGGATGCCTTTAGCAAGCACGACACTGAGATCAGCAGCAGTATGTACTTCCAAATGACAGAGGACATTCTAGATTTAGACTTGGGGCAGCTGGCACATCTTGTTGGCCAGACTGAGAAGTACCTGGCCAAGGCATCGTCCAGATCGATGGCGACGGCGAGGAAAAGCTTCGCGACCTGGGCGAAGAAGGCCTGGCAGACCAAGGCGGGCACATTGCACAGGCACGTCAAGCCGAAGGAGGCTCCCAGATACGAGATGACGATAAGACCAGATTTTGCCACGGCTGACCCAACCATCATCATGCGCTCGAAGGCCAGTACATGGGAGACCATATGGGCGGATCCTGTGGATACGCGCACGGACATTATTGAACAGCTGGAGCACACGCGGCGCAGAGCGAGACACGAGGACCCTGACCCCATCGACATGGAGATGCCGAACGGTGCTCTGCGTGTTACTGCGGCTTCAAAAGCAAAAGGATTGTACCAACGGGGCCCCGCTGACATTGACAGACTCCCCACGACGGCGAAGGAAGAGCTGTTATACATACTGCAACGGAGTGAAAGCACGTTGGCGTGGACACTGCAGTTATCGGCGACCAAGTGTGCAATGATGGCGAAACCAGGTCCTGCAGCGGGAGATCGTGTGCTGGGTATGTTACCCCTCCCAGTCAAGTTGTGGTCCAGAGCTCGTGGCGGTGCGTGCTCAATGTGGAGTGCGGGATTATCTGACCACTGGGATGCAGCGATCAAGGGCAGTTCGGCACTCAGAGCAGGGCTGATGCGAGCCATATTGGACGAGACGGGGATGGAGATCGGGGCATCGGCCATGACGCTGTTGCTAGATATCGAGAAAATCTATGACACGGTCTCCCTGGTGATCTTGATGCAGATAGCTTGCACGTCAGGATTCCCAACAATCGCTGTAGGGTTGGAAATGGTCATGTTCCTGGGGCCACGGTATTTGCAGGAGCAGTCCGCCATAAGCGAGGCCATATGGCCTACCAAGTCGCTGGTGGCAGGTTCCGCTCGAGGGGCGACATTGGCAAACGTAGTTCTTCACCCAGTGCTAGAATTGGCTCATCGGAGGAACCCATCAACAGGATTATGGACGTTCGTTGACGATACGGTTGCCAATTGCGAGGGAAGCGTCAACACGGTATGTGAGCAGCTGGTGGAGGTCTCTACGGATATTTGCATGGGACTGGTACGACAGAGAATGACAATATCGGATAAGACGACAGTGATCGGCTCCGACCTGGAACAAGTGAAGAAGGCAGCGCAGCGATTACGACGTCGAGGTATACCAGCTAAAGCTACGGGGGTGGCAACGGACCTGGGGCTTGACACTGCGGGCGGAAGGAAAAGGGTTACGGCGAAGAGTAAGCACAGACAAGACAAGGCGCGCAAGAGGTTCGCCAGGATTGTCAAGCTTAGGAGAATCACTGCGCTGAAGAAGGAGTCCAAGGGGCCTCTACAATGTGGGGGCGCTGCCACGAGCGATCTACGGGCAGCAGACCTCTGGAATGTCCAAGCAGGAGATCACACAACTTCGTCGCCAGGCTGGCAAAGTGGCAGGAGGTAGTGCAGGGGGACGCTATCTCACGACCACGTTGGGCATGGAGCTGGGACTTCGCGACCCTGCCGTGGATCTTCGTTTGGGCGCGGTACGTGAATGGATTGGTATGTGGCAGGGGTTCCCACGCATCCATCGTCGAGTTGCTAAGGCATGGCAGGCCATTAAATCAAGGCTACATCGTCTGGGGGCGAAGCGGCGGCGAGCTGTACGTGGACCTACAGGTGCTCTCATTGCCACGCTGATGGATGCAGAATGGACACCTACGACAGCGACACGGCGGCATCGCCCTGGACCGCATGAGATGGAGATGCGGGAGCTGCCGACCTCCGAGGACGGCACCTTTGTCGACGCGGGCTGCTTCCAGGAACTGCTAGACGACTCGGAGGGCGACCTGGGGAGAGATCTGTGGACGGAGGCCGCCAAGCACGAGTGCGGCGTCAGCCTGCAGGAGGGCGGCGACCTGTGGCCCATCGTCATGGAGCAGCGGCGGTTCGAGCGCAAGGGTATGCTCGACCAGCTGGCGCTCAACGCGACGGTGGTCGATGGCGGCCAGCGGCCGCGAGTCCGAAGCAGGGAAACAGGATACCAGGTCCCAGTCGAGTGCCCGAGATGTAAAGCCGCCCCAGAAACCTTGAGGCACAGGATTTGGGAATGTTCCAGTAACAAGGGGCACGAGGATTTTAGTAAGAGCGAACCTTTAGTAACGGCAGCACTAGTGCATGCAGAAGCTGAGCCAGCCTCACGGCTGCGCGGCCTCCCCCCCGACTCGCCTCACGCATCCCCTCTTCGAGGAAGGGCGTCTGGATGGGCGGGAGCTGAGGTTGGGTGGGAGGGATGACTTTGAGGCCTCTCGAGGAAGCGACGGGAGTTTAAAAGTTTACGGCGGCGGCTCGGGGGGGGGTTCTGATGGCCCCAGACGACGACGCTGCGGGTCTGCTATTTGTTCCCTGAAATGGTTCCAGGGTGTGTTGGTTTTGCAAGCAGCGTTGTCTCGGCCCCTGCTCGGAGCCCGCCAGACCGCCCCGCGCTCCGAGATCCAGGCTTTGTGCATGGCCTTAGAGGAGATTTCTGGCGCGTTCTTGATTATCACTGATCATTTATCGGTAGCTCGGAAGTGGCGCCGAAAGATGGAGAACCCCAGCCCGACAGGGGCTAACGAAGACCTCTGGATCAGGGCCCGAGAGGCCTGGCACCTCAGACCAGACACCGCCATTGTCGAAGTACAGTGGACACCCTCTCATGCAGATGAATCCCCTGAGCTGCTGGTGACAGACCGACAGCTAGAGACTGCGGCAGGCAACGCAGCGGCGGATATTTGGGCTAGGGAGGGGGCGGAGCTGGCGTGGGAGTTCGGGCTGGTGGGGGAACATCCGCAGACTGACCGAATAGATGCCATCGCCACTCTCGCGCGACGCCGCGCGAGAAGAGCGCTGGCCGAGTCAGCGAATGTCGAAGTGCAGGCGAAAGGCGAACGCAAGGCTGCTGCCAAGCGATTGCCCGCCAACCTGAAAGCTCGAGCGGTCCGAGAGTCGGCCCACAGCATAGTGAAGGCTGGCGCGGGCTGGAGGTGCACCGTGTGTGATCAGTTGGCGACAGGCTCCAGGCTGCTCAAGCTTGCGGCCACCCCTTGCGCAGGCAGGGCCCTCCCAGAGGGAAGTCGCCCCCCCGAGGTCCAGCAGGCCCCCCATAGGTTCGTTGCGGGGGCCCTGGAGTTTCATGAGACCCACGCTATGTTTTACGTGGATAAGTGGTTTATGAATGCCTGCAGTAAGTGTGGTCGCTTCGCGACAGTTGATGATAGACACATCAGGAAGCGTTGCGAAGGTTTGACCCCTAAGGGGTCAGAGAATTTGGCGAGAATTCGGAAGGGCACTTACCCTAGGAGAGAGGGGCCCCCACAAGCCGTTGTGGAAGCAATGGCGGCGCGCGATGGAGAGAGAGAGAGAGAGAGAGAGAGAGAGAGAGAGAGAGAGAGAGAGAGAGAGAGAGAGAGAGAGAGAGAGAGAGAGAGAGAGAGAGAGAGAGAGAGAGAGAGAGAGAGAGAGAGAGAGAGAGAGAGAGAGAGAGAGAGTGTCGTCTCTCGTCGTTCGGTCGTTTACCGAGGGTGCTGCGCCTGGGGGCTCCTCCTCCGACCCTCCCCCACCGCCCATCCCCGCGGTGGCAAGGCCCGCCGCGCAGGCCAGTCGTGGAGTTCGTAGAGGAGCTGGGGCTCTTCGACGGGAGCCGCCCAATTTTGCTGGGGCGGTGGGGGGAGAGGATTCAGGAAGTTCAGACTAACCCCTTATGGGTAAATGTTTTGTAGTTTGTAGGACAGAGGTCCGTTCTCATAGCATTCCCATAGCATTCCTCCCCTCTGCCCCCTTCCTCCTCCAGCTCCTGTTCCTCCCCCCCCCGGCCGTCCTCCTCCCCCTCCTCCTCCTCCTTCTCCTCCTCTTCGCCCTCCTCCTCCTCCTCCTCCTCCTCCTCCTCCTCCCCCTCCTCCTCCTCCCCCTCCTCCTCCTTTGAAGGAGATGCCCAGCGGCGTCCTGGGACCTGAGCACTCTGAGCAAAGACGGAGCTAAGGCGCGACAAGGGGTACGTGTCAGGACAGGGCCCCCCATGAACAACATGTACATCAACAGGGATCCACATGCCAACGAGGGACGCACGGGGTCAACAGGAGCCCGCCAGCACGGGGCCTCACAAATCCCTGGCCGCGCTCAAGCAGTTCCGAAGTGGGGGGGGGGGGGCAGCAGAATGACAGGGCTTGACCCATACCCACGAACACCTCCTTGTACACATCCTGAACACAATCTACAATCATGACAGCGCTAGAATCAGACTCGCGGCAGCAGGCGCCTTGGCCCGCTAACCAATCCGCGGCCCTGTTGCCTCGGACGCCCAGCAAGTCGCTGCCGTCAACAGCCTCAGAATTCGTTCGGCCGGTGAGCCGGCGCGTTGTGGAAGGGAACCCAATAAGTTGGACGTAAATCCTGCGCAACCTGGCGCCCAAAATGCACCCGGCCACTCTTGGGGCCCAGGGCAAAAGATTGAAAACTGGCCCCGCATGAGACCCTTGTAATCCGCGCTCCGCGTGTGTCCGTGCGCTTACACCACTGCTTTGCGCCGCCATGCAGATGAGCTCTGGCCATGCCGAGACTGCCTGGACGGCCCGGAACGGCGGTGTCCAACAAGTGGCATTCCAAATCCCGAAAGGTAAAGGACCCCGCGAAGCTCCGCCCACAGCACCAGGTCACTCTTTCCCCCCAACTCTCTTTAAACCAAAGCTTTCTCGCACAAGTTGGACTGAAACGCGCCTGCGCTGCCCTGACTTGCTTAGCCAGGACATCAACTCCCAGTGCGCCAGCGCGAAGGAGGAGCCCCGACGCGGAGCAGATGCCACCCATCGTTCGGCGCGATATCTTTCCAAAAGTCGCAGCAGCCACGTGGATGGGTTCCTCGATGTTGGATAATGCAGATATATGCACTTGAGATCGAAGTCCGTGTATATGAGAAAGACTGAAGGCAGTGGCCTCTGCTCCGTACACCACGGTAGGTACTTCGCTGGTGATCGCCAATCTGGCCTTGCGACCCCTTGAACTGACCGCCATGCTCGAAATTCATTCCCTCGTTGCCGCCAGTTTCCCCCATCCTTGAGTTCGCGCGCGCGCGCGCCTTCGGGCGCGCCCTGCGCTCGCCGCCAGCGACGCCCATCCCGAGGTTCTGGATCGAATGCTCGCCAGGCCCAGCCCCGCGCGCCTAGAACTGCCCTGGCAAGTTTCATCATCGGACCACGGGGCGCCACCATGTTCAGCTTGCGCCTCGCAGGCGGCAGGCTCTACTCCTCCTGTAGGCGATGTCCAATGCGACGCACGTGCTGTTCCATCTCTCTCTTTCGGGGGTCCAACAGGGCCTGGAGACGGCCCCAGATGGCCCCGCGACAGCCCCGCGACGGCCCCCGCGGGCCTCAGATGGCCCGGCACGGCCCCAGGAAAAGCAACAAAAGCCCCCAAGACGACCCGAGAGGACCCTCAAGAGCGCCTCCAGAAGCCAAAATCGTCGATGTCCCATCGGGCGCTGAAAAATCTAAACGCGCTCGCCCACGTCGTCTCCCAGAAGCCCAGGGCGGCCGAAGCAGCCGCGGCCCCAAGACGGCCCAAGAAGCCCTCGAGAGGGCCCCAAGGCGGTCCAAGAGGGCCCCGACACGGCCCAAAGAGGCCCTCAAGACGCACCAAGAGGCCCCCAATATGGCTCAGGAGGAACCCACCCCCAAGAGGGCCTCCGAAGGGACCAGGCAATACAAGGGCGCACCAAGAAGGCCCAAGACGCCAACGCGGGGCTCCGAGAAGCCCCCAGGAGGCCCCCCAGAGGCCCCCCAGAGGCACCCAAAAGGTCCACAAGAAACTTAAATGGCCCCAGGACGGCCCAGGACACCCCCAGGAGACCCCCAGGAGGACCCCCAAAAGGAACCCCGGGAGCTCCGGAGGAGGACCCCAGGAGGGGCACAGGAGGCCCCCCAAAGACTGGATTGCAAATGCCCCGAACTACTCCGAACAACCCAAGAGGCCCCCAGTGCCCTGCGCTTGCCGCCAGCGACGTCCATCCCGAGGTTCTTGATCGAATGCTCGCCAGGCCCGCGCGCCTAGAACTGCCCTGGCCAGTTTCATCATCGGGCCACAGGGCGCTACCATGTTCAGCTTGCGCCTCGCAGGCGGCAAGCTCCGCTCCTTCTGCAGGCGATGTCCCATGCGATGCACATGCTGTTCCTTTTCTCTCTTCTCTCTCTCTCTCTCTCTCTCTCTCTCTCTCTCTCTCTCTCTCTCTCTCTCTATCTCTCGCTCTCACTCTCTCTCTCTCTCTCTCTCTCTCTCTCTCTCTCTCTCTCTCTCTCTCTCTCTCTCTCTCTCTCTCTCTCTCTCTCTCGAAAGAAAGAAAGAAAGAAAGAAAGAAAGAAAGAAAGCAAGAGAGAAAGAAAGAAAGAAAGACACATAAAGAAAAAGAAAGGGGGGGGGAGCGGGGAATCCAACAAGGCCTCGAGACGGCCCCAGATGGCCCCGCGACGGCCCCCGCGGGCCTCAGATGGCCCGGCACGGCCCCAGGAAAAGCAACAAAAGTCCCCAAGACGCCCCAAGAGGACCCTCAAGAGCGCCTCCAGAAGCCAAAATCGTAGATCCCCCATCGGGCGCTGAAGGATCTAAACGCGCTCGCCCGCGTCGTCTCCCAGGAGCCCAGGGCGCCCGAATCAGCCTCCATAGCGGCCCCAAGACGGCCCAGGAAGCCCTCGAGAAGGCCCCAAGGCGGCCCAAGAGGGCCCCGACACGGCCCAAAGAGGCCCTCAAGACGCCCCAAGAGGCCCCCAATATGGCTCAAGAGGGCCCCAGCCTCCGAAAAGGACCAGACAGTGCAAGGGCGCGCCAAGACGGCGCAAGACGCCAACGCGGGGACCCGAGAAGCCCCCAGGAGGCCCCCCAGAGGCCCACCAGAGGCCCCCAACAAGTCCATAAGAAACTTAAATCGCCCCAGGACGGCCCAGGACGCCCCCAAGAGACCCCCAGGAGGCCCCCCAAAAGAACCCCGGGAGTCCCCGAGGAGGAGCCCAGGAGGGGCCCAGGAGGCCCCCAAACGACTAGATTGCAAATGCCCCAAACTACTCCGAACAACCCAAAGAGGCCCCCAGGAAGCTGCGGCGGCGCCAGATGACTTCCACGACGTGCTGGGCGACGCCGAGACGGCCGAACGGCGTGCGAAACCCGCGCGGCGGCAGACGAGCAGGTCAGACCATCTCACGCCGACGCGCTGCGCTAGTTGAATTTTCCTGCGGCCGCGAACGACAGGCCACTCTGGTGCGGACTAGTACTTCTGGCAGGCAGGGCGCGCCGAGCCAGCCCTGCCGCGCCTGGGCGATGGCGCTGCTTCTCGGGAAATCTCGGCCTCGCACTTGCTGCGCCTCAACATCGCGCTCGGGCGGCGCGCCGGGCAAGTCCAATGCTTCGTCGCCCAAGCAACAGCATTGCACATATTCGGCCGAGGCGTCTGCCCGCGGGCCGAGCACGGCGGGCACTTGCAGTCTTCGCAGCAGAAGTCGCAGCCGCTCTTCAGGCGCTCGGGGGCCCTCGCTCCGCATTCGCCACCTTTCCTTTGCAGAGGGGCCTCGTCTTCCTGCCCGGGCATTCGGCGCCCGCGGAGTCTTTCACGCCTCGGTGGTTCTCGAAGAACTCTTCGTCGAACTGCCCCAGCGGCCCCCCCTGCTCGCGCGCGCGACGCCTCGACAGGCGGTCGTCGGACAGCGCGTCGAAATGCTGCCGCTCGAGAGCGCGAGCGGCGCGCGCTGCGAAGTCGAGGGCCCCGCGCTCTTTCGGGCCGCGCACCTCGCTCCGCACGAAGGCTCGCAGCGGCTGTCTCGACGCAACGACTGCGCCGGAGATCGTCTGCCCCCTTGGGCCTGAAAGGCGCGGCGCGCGCGACCGGCGCGCCAGGGGCCGGCCGCCGCGCGGTGCGCGCCTCCTCCGCGCGCCCTGGCTCGGCGCCGCCACGGCGCGCTCCGCGGGGTCGCCCGTTCTCGCGCCACTGCTCGGGAAGTTGCCCGATCTCCCCTGCTGGCGGCAGTCGCCGCGCTGGAACGTCGCGCCCACCAACTTCTTGGACGACCTGGAAGCCGCCGCCTTCTCTGCCCTGGCCCAGTCGGCCTTCGCCTGTTCCGTCGCCATCTCCCTGGCCGTCTGGGGGCGCGGGCGCCGCGGGCCAGTCTGGCGCCCCTGGCGGTAAAAGCATGGGCGAGAAGAGCTGCGCGACGATCGGGTCGCCAGTTCTCCCGGCGCGGCCGATGGCCGCGGAGCCCGCGGGGGCCACGGGCGAGCGGGGCGTCGCCGGCGCGCCCAGGAGGTCGACGATGGCCCGCGGAAGCGCGGCGCCAGCGACGCAGTGGGCCGCGGCGGCGGAGCGAGGGGCAAGCGGGGCCCCCGCGCGCTTCGCCGCGGCCTCGAAAGCGAGGCTGCAATCCCACGACACCCCCTTCACTTCCACGGGGGAAACGCTGGCCAGCCGATTGCCAAAAATGCGCGCCGCGCCCCCAAGGATTTTAACCGCGATCGCGTCGGGCACGCGCTGCGGCACGCGCCCTGGCTCGGACCTGCGCTCGCCCACCAACCTCGAGTCGTCGGGGCGAAGGGCCTGGCCCGCGGCGGCCCCCCAGGAACGCTTGCAAGCGCCCGCGCCCGCATTCTCCGCCGCGGCGAAGCGAGCGCGCAATGTTCGAAGATCGGAAGCACACCGGGAACTCCGCCAGTCTTGTTCTCCGGGCACATGAGCCAGCTCTTTCCGGCGTTGGCGAGCGCCTCCTTCGACCTGCGCGCGTCGCCCCGAGCGGGGGGCACGTCGCGCGCAACCACCCATTGGAGCTGCTCGCCAGCATTGGCTGCCGCATTCGCCGCTCGCAGCGTCAAAATTCTGCCCTTCGAGGCGCTCGCTGCGCGGGCGCGCGAAAAGCGCGTCTGCGAACGCCGCGATCGCCTTCAGCTGTCTGGGGCCGCTCTGAGAGGCGACGCGGCAGCGCCGACGGCGTTCCGCGCCGCGCTCAGCGCGCCCCGCAGATCCCACGCCCCCCCAGGGCTGACCTTCGTCAAGCATGCGCGGCCACTCGTCTGCCCTGAGCGCCTGGCACTTCGCCGCCCCGAAGCAGGCGCCCCTTCGAGGCGTCGGCGCATCCTGGGCAACCAGGAAGCCGCGGACGAAACCGCACATCCTGTTCGACAGATTGTTCACGCGCGCTTCTGCGAGGAAGCTCTTCCACCGCGGGTCTGAGCAGCGGTGCGACTGGGCAGCGGTGAGTCGCCGAGCGCAGCGAGCCCTGTGTCTAGAACATCTCCAGTACGCGGCCGACGTTGGCGGGCCGCCCCAGGAAAGCCTGGGCAGCAATACTGGTAGTCATCACCAGCGGGATCTGCCGCAGATCTCGGGGACGCACCGGGGCCAGCCCGCCGCGCGTGGCGAACTGTTCGGGAACGCGTGCGTCCACGGCCCGCGGGTTTCCCCTGTCCTTCGCCGAGTCCTTCACCTGCCTGCGCACGGCGCCCAGCAGCTTCACTGATGCGTTCCCCGCGTCGTCGATGATGAACCATCGCGCGCGCTGCGGCAGGTGCCCCGACTGCTCCGGGCCCTTCTCCCCGCCAGACTGGGAACCCGCAGTGAGATCCCGAGCTTTAGGTTCGGCAATGGAAGGAGAGTTCCCCCCCGAAAATGCCGGCTGGCTTTCTCGATAGTAGACCCACTGTAATATCACTGCCAAACCTGACCCGAGCTTGCTAAAGTTGCGGGAAGCGCCCCATCCCCCCCCGACATTGCTGGCCATGAAATTCATCGAGGCGGTCGTCATGCAGCGCGCCTCGCGCCCCCGACCCGCGCGCGCGGGGAGCAACCCCGCCTCCTCGTCGCACAGCCGCCCGATGACCTCCGACTTCCCCAGCCCCGGCAGGCCGAGAACGGACGGCCTGGAGCATGGCGACCCGCGCGGCCGGCCCTGCTCGCTGGCCCCCTGGACGCACCCGTCGGCGATGGCACTCAAGAAGCCCATCTGATGCGGGTCGGGCGCGATCTGGCGCGTCGGAAGTCCTGCGATCGGGCGGGGGAAGCATTGGAAGGCCCTCCTACGCACCCCACCACACCTTCAACTGCTGCACAACCTTTTCGGCCACGCACCACATGTGCCGCGCCTCCTGCCCGGCGCGCGTGCCCGTGCAAACGCGCGTGCGCAACTGCTACGGAACGCGCGCGGCGCGAACGAAGGCGCTGCAGGCGGACGCTGCGACATCCACGTAAGCGCGCACGCAAAGCCCATCATCAACCCTCCGCGTACTCAGATCCACGCACCGCTCACGCCACGACGCAACGCAGTGCATGCCATGCAGCACATGCTTCGCGCAATCTCGGTTGCAGACGCCATGCCGGCCGTCGCGCCCCCTCGTCTCCGACAACTGCTTCCAGAGCGAAACGATGCGGGCGCTCCCGACCCAACTGCGCGCATTTCAATTTTGGTCATTCCACGTCTCCAGATTGTCTGTCCTCTCCGCCAGCTCTGGATATTGCGCGCCAGGTCGGCGTCGCGGCGCGGCTTCCTCCGCTTCGTCAGGCGCGCCGCCTTCCGCGGCGGCCCCCGGGCATTCCCGCGCGCGCCCGCTGGCGTCGCACTGCAATGCCGAAGAGCAGCCTGGCGCTGCGGCACGCGCCGCGTGGGCTCGGTGTTCGGCGAGCCACGGAAGGGCGCGCCCTGCTCCTGCGCTTCGCGCGCCGAGTGGGAGAGATGCCCGACTTCCTCGCCGGCGGCATCCGCCCTGGCGTCTCGGCCCTCTCGCCGCACCTCTGCCGCGATGCTGACGGGGCTCAAAACCGGAGGCGCGTCCTCTGGCAGCGCCCGAGCCCCGGTCGCCCTCCCCTTCGCCAGCGTTCCCCTGCATCGTCGCCATTGCGCGAAACGCGTTCGCCCGCGAGACGCGGCTGGAAGTTGGATGTCGAGACGATGCGGCCGCGAATGTAATGCTCCAGGTGCAATTCGGAAGCTCGGCGCGCCCCCCCCCCCCCAGAGCGCCGGCGCACGGGCGGCAAGTTCAGATTCTTCGCAAGCGAACGAGCCCCCGAGAAGATCTGCACTTGCGCGCCAAAGTCCACGGCCGGAAGCACGCAGACAAAACGGCGCCGCGGCGCTCGGACGTCATGTCCGGCTGCGGCATGGCGGACCCGATAGAGACGGGTAGCGCGGGAACGCCCCGGGGTGCAATCACGCGCGCGCGCGCGAACTCCATGTCGCCCGGGATTTCTTCGAGCGCGAAGCCCCTGCGTTCGTCCGCGGGTGGCTTCGCGACATAGTGGGCCCCGGGCCGCGGCGGCCCATCAGCTGCGGCTGGCGGCGAATTCGCCATCCACTCCGTCGGGCCCGTCGATGGCTTCGAGGCATCTCTTGGCGGCGGGTGCGTTGGTGCCGCCTCGTGCAAACGGGCGAACTCGCACCGGCTCAATGTTTCAACGCGGCATGAGTGGGTCGGTGGGCGCAGGCTCGCGCCGTCGCGCCCGGCGGCACGGTCACCTCGCCTGCGCCCATGAGAGCGGCTTCGGCCTGTCCGCGAAATGCGCCAAGTTCACCTCCTCGAAAATCGTCCGCGCCACGCCGTTGGCCCCCCAGTCACACGCAACGGTGAGCAATTTTCATCGGCCGCTGCATCTCGGACTTCCCTCGGGGTCGCTCGGCCAGCGTGGACAGGCTGGTCTTCGCGAGTTCCCGCGCCTTCCTCCCGACGCGCTGCACCTTGGAAATGCACCCGCCGATGTGCCACGAGGAGTTCGACATGGACCGCTGCACCGCGACCGCGATGCGTCGAAGGTACCCTTCTCCTTTCTCTTCTCTGACCCCAGGACGATCCAAACAAAAAACCAATGCGGCCCAAGAGGACCCCAGGAGAACCTCACGGCGGCCGCGAGAGGCCCACAGGATGGCCCCTGAAGGGGCCAAATGGCGCAAGACCGCCGAAAGACTGCACACGACGCCTCAGAGGCCCCAAGAGGCCCTCAAGAAACCTCCAAGAGGCCCTAAAGAAACCTCCAAGAAACCTCCAAGGGGGGCCAAAGAGGCTCCCACCGGGCCCCACAACGTCTGGACTGCACGTGTTCCGTACGTGCACCCCGCGAAGCGAGAGGAATCCACCTCGGGACGTGACGCGTTGCCGGAAGCAGGCCCGCGGATGCTGTAATGCATGGGATCAAATGTATCCAATGAGTGCAAACTTTGTACATATTATATTATGTTTCGCTCGTACGTTTCCCCCCCTACCCCCCCAAGGGCCACGCCAAATTACGCCGACCTGGATGCCTCCCCCCGTCTGGAGCCCAAAACCTACACAAGTCGATTGACAATATATGAATTCAGCCCCTGGGGCCCCTCGGGGGCCCAAAAAGGCGTCAAGACGGTTCATGATGACTTCAAGACGGGCCAAGACGACCCCAAGACGGTCCAGAATGGCCCCAGGAGGGCACCAAAAATTAGCCTGGCGAAGAACCCAACCATATGCAGTTGTCAGTGCCGCAGCTGCGGGTTTCATCTTCAATGGAACTCCCCATAGGACTACGGAACGTGTGAGGGGTGTGCCGAGATGGGTGCCACTGGGGCATTTGGCGAAGCTCCCTATGGGGACATGAAACACGCGCGGGGCGTGCCGACATGGGTGGCGGAAACGCATGTGCGGGCCGCCACTGGGGCCTCCAGTGGAGCTCCCTATGGGTCCCCGAAACATGATGCTGCTGCGGGGGGGGGGGCCGGGATGGGTGGCGGAGACGCATGTAAGCGCCGCTACTGGGGCCTTCGGTGGAGCTCCCTATGGGGCCACGAAGCGCGTGAGGGGTGTACTGGGATGTGTGGCGGGGACGCATGTGAGCGCCGCCACTGGGGCCTTCGGTGCAGCTCTCTATGGGGCCACGAAACGTGTGAGGGGTGTGCCGAATTAGGTGCGGGTGGTGACGCATGCGGGCGGTGCCACTGGGGCCTTCGGTGGAGCTCCCTATGGGGCCACGAAACCTGTTGTTGTGAGGGGCGTGCCGGGATGGGTGGCGGGGACGCATGTGAGCGCGGCCGCTGGGGCCTTCGGTGGAGCTCCCTATGGGGCCACGAAACGTGTGAGGGGTGTGCCGAATTGGGTGGGTGTGGGTGACGCATGTGAGCGCCGCCACTGGGGCCTCCGGTGGATGATGGGGCCACGAAACCTGTCAGGGATGTGCCGAAATGGGTGCGCGGGACGCATGCGCATGTGAGCGCCGCCACTGGGGCCTTCGGTGGAGCTCCCTATGGGGCCACGAAACGTGTGAGGGGTGTGCCGAATTGGGTGTGCGGGACGCATGCGGGCGGCAGCACTGGGGCCTTCGGTGGGGCTCCCTATGGGGCCACGAAACGTGTGAGGGGTGTGCCGAATTGGGTGTGCGGGACGCATGCGGGCGGCAGCACTGGGGCCTTCGGTGGGGCTCCCTATGGGGCCACGAAACGTGTGAGGGGTGTGCCGAATTGGGTGTGCGGGACGCATGCGGGCGGCAGCACTGGGGCCTTCGGTGGGGCTCCCTATGGGGCCACGAAACGTGTGAGGGGTGTGCCGAATTGGGTGTGCGGGACGCATGCGGGCGGCAGCACTGGGGCCTTCGGTGGGGCTCCCTATGGGGCTGTGAGGCCCTATGGGGCCATGGGGCCACGAAACGTGTGAGGGGTGTGCCGAATTGGGTGTGCGGGACGCATGCGGGCGGCAGCACTGGGGCCTTCGGTGGGGCTCCCTATGGGGCCACGAAACGTGTGAGGGGTGTGCCGAATTGGGTGTGCGGGACGCATGCGGGCGGCAGCACTGGGGCCTTCGGTGGGGCTCCCTATGGGGCCACGAAACGTGTGAGGGGTGTGCCGAATTGGGTGTGCGGGACGCATGCGGGCGGCAGCACTGGGGCCTTCGGTGGGGCTCCCTATGGGGCCACGAAACGTGTGAGGGGTGTGCCGAATTGGGCGTGCGGGACGCATGCGGGCGGCAGCACTGGGGCCTTCGGTGGGGCTCCCTATGGGGCCACGAAACGTGTGAGGGGTGTGCCGAATTGGGTGTGCGGGACGCATGCGGGCGGCAGCACTGGGGCCTTCGGTGGGGCTCCCTATGGGGCCACGAAACGTGTGAGGGGTGTGCCGAATTGGGTGTGCGACGCATGCGGTGGCCTTCGGTGGGGCTGGGGCACGAA